GAGAGAGAGAGAGAGAGAGAGAGAGAGAGAATGCATGTGTATGAGTGGGGAAGGGGTAGACAGAGAGAGAAAGAGAAAATCCCAAGCAGGCTCCACACTGTCAGTGCAGGGCCCAATGTGGGGCTCAAACTCACGAACCATGAGATCATGAGCTGAGCCCAAATCAAGAGTCAGACACAACCGACTGAGCAGGCCAGGCGCCCCACAGGCCAAATATACTACAAATGCCCTATTTCCATCTGTCATTTCACTTAATTGCAAAATAGGAGATAATCTAATGTGTCCAAAAATAACAAAGATTACAAAACTTAACTAGAACCCACATCTAATTTTTAAAACTTGTTCCTCTTCACTATTATGTAATTTTAATAATACCTACTAAATTTGGTAATATCTAACGTCCCATATACACATTATGAAAAATAAAAAGATTGACAAAAAAGAAAAAGGCATGAACTAATGTAAGACTGAGATGTTCAGCTTTAGAAAAATTAAGCCAGCAAATAGTTTTTATGTGTGTCCATTTATTGATTGCTGGGAATACAGCCTATTGAGAATACATGACATGCATTTTGGGAGAGAAATTAACCAAATCTGAAATGAAGGCATTCAATAAGCCTGCTAGGAGTTAATAAGGTAACACAGATTAGATCTAAAGACACAGTGTGGGAAGACTCAGACAGCCACGTACAATTGTCATTAAGATTCCAGCTGCAAATTCTTTCGGAATTTCTTTATTCTTAATTACTTAGAAATTACCAGGAAAGAGGGAAGCTCACTGCCTCTTTAGCTTAACCTAACGCTAGGAAGCAAAAAAAAAAAATTTTTTTTGCCGTAGCTTCAAATTGTTTAGGGCAATTCCATTTTTACAAATTCTTCCACACCAATTCATATGCTTCAGAATTATAAGCAGCTCTACACAATTAGAAAAGATTAATAACCAATGCAAAAGTGTGTTTGATTCCAGTATCTATTATTGAATCACATTGTTCTAATACTAGCAGATTTTTACACCACACTGTTAATTTTCCCCCAAGATGTTCTAACTCATGGATACAATAAAATGACATAAATTAAAGAATTCCAGTTACACTTAACAGGACGAAACGATTAAGTTACTGGAATGTCTTAGTCCATAATTAAAACCTGTTTAAGTATATATGCGGCATAAATGATGCAAAAATTATAACCTATAATTAGATAAAAATGCTGAAATGGATTTATAACTGTAGTGTTACATGCCACATGTTTCCCCCAAACTTTCTGATGGATATTGTTTTTTTAAATGACAATACCAAAAAAAACCAAAGACAATATGGATGTTACTTGATATTCAAATGATTTGGATTGCTTTTGGTGGTAGAGAAAAAAGAAATAGATAAACATGAATGGAATAAAAAAGGGAAGATTTTGGCTTTTTTTTTGAAAGAGGCAGTCTGTTCCTTTCATAAACTGTATTCTTTGCTTAATGTTTCTGGAGGAATCAGTTATGGTTTGCAACGCTGGACAAATCGTGGGTATAAGCATACGTCTCGGATGTGATACCTATTCAGAATCCAGGTCAAGAATCGTTCCAAGCCCAAGCCATATCCGCCATGAGGACATGTGCCATATTTTCTCTGTTTAAAAAAAAAGAACAGATGTTTAAAATTTTGTCTAAGATATTAAAATTTTTCTACTGTGAAATGAGTTCACTTATCGTGGTTAAGAATTCAACTCTATTTTTAATTTTTTTATATGTTATTTGTGAGAGAGAGAGAGAGAGAGAGAGAGAGAGAGAGAAGCAGAGAGAGGGGCGAGGGATCCGAAGCAGGCTCTGCACTGTCAGCACACAGCCCAATGCAGGGCTTCAACTCACAAACGGTGAGATCATGACCTGAGCCGAAGTCAGACGCTCAACCAACTGAGCCACCCAAGCGCCCCTAGAATTGAACTCTTATTCTATTTGCTTTCATAGGCCACGTGTGTGGAAATGATTTGGTATGAAAAATAAACCAGGGGTTAAGTGTCACCCTGAAAAGAAGAGATTTCAAACTTTTAACTAAGTCAACGTCCCTGTTTATCAGAGGGAAATGCAAGCTAGCCTAGATGCTGGTAGAATCTAACAACAATTTTTTAAAATTTTAGTAGCAATGACAAGGCCAGCAGCTAGTAGCTTTTCAAATGAAGTGCACATATTATTGGACAACGGTAAAACTAGTAATAATCCCATGCCACACTATTAGAACATCAAGCTGAATATAGCTCGTTCAAACACCAAAGTACCACACTGACTTCTCGCCTTTTAGGTTTCAATTTATACAGAACTATTATAATGAAAACATTTAAGAGTGTAAAAACCAAAACAAAACTGTTCTTACCTGATCTGTGTACCAGTAGTAGGGAGTGGGGTCAATCCCTTCCCTTTTATAACCCGCCAGCATTTCTTCACTATCCCAGATACGCATTGAGCCTCCCACAATCTCACCAACATTTGGCATCAACACATCCACCTTTAAAAACAAGTAAATAAAATGCAGTTACTACCAAGCTGTCAGTCATGACATGGCTCTAGTTTCAACGAAAACCACAATGAAGCTCTTACAGCTAACAGAGCACTACGGATGTAATATTCAAATCCTGTAATTTAACAAGAAATGTTAAACCCAATCAGAAGACAAAACCCACTTCTTTAAATATTGCCATTCTAGATGTACAATGCAGCATTTGCCATGAGCTGTATCTTATTCCAGTGGTAGTCCCCACCCCCTTAAGGAGCAAAATTATGATCTGAATCACAAACTGACAGATTCTGTAAGGCGGGAATCCTCAGGACATCGCTGCATGTAGAAGGACTTGATCTCTACGGGAAATCGACATAGCAAGATGGGCTCATTAATGGTGTCCGTCATCAGTCTCTCAGGAGCTTCTGGGATATCCTGCGGTGAAATAAGCCTTCATTAACATTTACTACTCGAAAGGCAACAAGACAGAGGCAGCTCTCACCCAGAAGCAGCCCTTATCTCATGAATGCAACACAGTAGAGAATACACACCCATCCACAACCCATACCCATGGGTGGAAGCAACAGTTTCTTTCAAAAACAATCAAGGTATTCTAAAAACTCACACGCAGTTATTAAACCAACCGCAAAAAGATCCGCTTCCTTCTACAGTACATCTCAAGAGCCATGCTGCTTGAGAGACGAAAACCAAACCACTCAAGTCGTTATCACTGTGACTAGATACTGTTCAGTTTCTTTTCTCAGGGGCCAGTTTCGTCTAGCTCTGAAGCAAACATGGTCCGCTTAGTCCCATATGGCATAAGATCATCAGTGAATGGTCCAGAATATCACTGGTCTATGCACAGTGTGTTATTAATAACACTAATCTTTAAACTCTCCTGTCATCTGTACTTCTTTTCCTGTTACAATAAATCTATGTGGCTTCAATAGTAGGAAGACAAGAGTCATAAGACAAATAACCAGTGTCAAGTTCCTAAGGGTAACCGCACGTAGAATAGTTAGCCGAGAAATGTTAGATGATGAAGAACAGGGCTAATCTGCTTCTCATTCGAAACATCATCTGAGTAAACCACACATAAATTCAAGTTAAACCTGAAAAGTCTTGTCTCAGTACAAACTGACAGAGAGAACAGGACAAGACTCATTGATATGTTTAACCTAAGAGCCAAACTGGAGCTTAGCAATCACCTGGCACAGGGGTCACCAAGCCCCAGTCCCGGGAGGCCTGTGCCCTCTAAAGTAAAGAGAGGAAATGGGAGATGAGTTGGATAATACTGGTCCCTCAGCTTTCGTCTGCTTTACCTACTAGAGTGAGATTTAACTGGGAGGAAATGGTATTAAAAAAAAAAAATTTAACGTTTATTCATGTTAGAGAGAGACAGAGAGAGAAACAGAGTGCGAACAGGAGAGGGGCAGCGAGAGAGGGAGACACAGAATCCCAAGCAGGCTCCAGGATCTGAGCTGTCAGCACAGAGCTCGAACTCACGAGCTGTGAGATCATGACCTGAACCGAAGTTGGATGCTTAACTGACTGAGCCACCAGGCGCCCCCAGGAGGAAATGGTCTTACTGCACATTCCAAAAAGTTGGAGGACCACGTATGTACTCTGGTGTCCTCATGTGTACGGGATGACATCAGCGTACAATAAATGCTGACAAGCTTCGAGGGCCTTTTGAGCCTCGGACCTGACTAAGCATTCAATTCACGGAGTCCTCACAACTTGGCAAAGCTGCTCTTACCTCCACAGTGGAGATAAAGAACCAGGGGGTGGGGTCACTGGCCTCCCATTACTCAGCAGTAAGGACACAGGTGGGAGCTAAGCCCACCTGGAGGGCTTCTTACTCCAAACATTGTGCTCTTTCCACTCAACTTTGTGACACTACTTTGCTAAGTTTTAGGTAATAATGATTCTCAAATCTTCAATACAAACATTTTTTTAAAGTGTTTCCTTATTTTTTGAGGGAGAGGGAGGGAGGGAGGGAGGGAGGGAGGGAGAGAGAGAGAGAGAGAGAGAGAGAGAGA